AGCCCTGGCCTTGGGGGCCCTCTGCCGTGTACAGCCTCGCTCCTCCGCAGGGCCAGGCTGAGGCCTTCTCCTGTGACAGCCTGTGGGCTTGTACGCATTGCCGTTTGGGGTCCCGTGGAACCCCATTTTGGATCCAGGGTCAGTGCCATGTGAGGGATGAAGCAGGCCTGCCTCCCGGGGGAAAGACCCGCTCGAGGCGGCCAGCGCCCTACCTCGATGGCGTGCTGGAACTGCTCGTGCTCCCGCTGCAGCTGCTCCGCCTCCTGCAGCGAGCTGGCCGTGATGAGCCCCGCGTTCAGCATCGACTCGCCGTTGCGGATCCAGCCCAGCACCTGAAACGGTCCACAGGTCATCCAAGCGCGCCCTTCCCAGGGCAGCCCGTGGACCAGCAGTGACGCAATCCAAGCAGCAGGTGGCCGAGCTGCTCACATCAGCCACATGAAGCTGGTTTCCGTATGACCCTCCTGCCCACAGCCTGAGACCCGTCGGGAGTGTGCGGCCGTAAGTACTGCACTGTTAAGTGGATGCTGTTATTTTTAGTTGCAAATGGGAGCTGAAAGGGTAGAGGGTCCAGAGAATGGTTATTAGTCCACAGGCCAAAAGTGGTTGGGGGCCACATATCCCCAAACCAACGGCCACAAAGAATTCTCTGCTAATAAAAAAATATATATATTTTTCATTCTTTCAGTCCTAATGAAAATGCAAACTTGGCAAACTGCTTGGTAAGGGAACTGTTTCATCCCAGTAATAAAAATTTTCCATTATAGCATCAGTATTAAGTGGCACAATAACTGAAATGTGAACAGAGCTGTACTCTATGCTCAGAGGCAAACCAGGAGATCCTCAACCTCACATACCAAGAGAGGTCGCCTCTGACAGCCGAAGCCAACGGCTGCGGAAGTCACTCCGGCTAGTTACTTGTGGCAGAGACAGCTCATTCCTAATACCTATTTTCCTTGTCTCCTTTATTCAGAAAACCCCAACTTTTGGGGACAGCTTGAAATAAAACCACCTCTCAGCCACTATGACAGCTCAGGTACAGCTATGACATAATCGTAGCCACTGAGATCAAAGCAGTCGCCTCTGGGGGATTTTGTGAAAATATTTTCCTGGTACATGTTTTGCCTTTTTCGTGTTACATTTTCCCTTCCTGATGCCTGGACTGTGGAGGTGATGGTTGGGGCTACAACACCGTTTGGATCACAAGCAAAGGGCCACCTACCATCAAGATCTCAGCTAATATACCACGGGCCACCTTCCGACTTGTTACGTGGTTTTGGACTCTGTTACTCGTTAGGCAAATGCAGTTCCTAATGAATATGTCCATCTATCCCTATGTGTTTTAGGTGAATTGTTCTATGTTTGGCAAGAAGAAGAACTTCATTAACTGGTCTTTAAAAAGCAGCTTACATACTTTATCTCATTACAACAGGTGCTCTTTTAAAGACTTCTGTTTAATAACATGTCTGCTTTAATGCGAGTGCTGCCCACTTGTGCACACCTCACTCCTGGTCTAGAGCAGGGGTGGGGAACCTTTTTTCTGCCAAGGGCCATTTGGAGATTGATAACATCATTTGTGGGCCATACAATTCTGTCAACTTAAAATTTGGCCTCTATATTTGGTCAAACATTTAATTAACTCACCCCTAATGCCTTGGCAGGAACAGACCAAATGATTTTGTGGGCCTTATATGGCTCGTGGGCTGGACACTCCCCACCCTGGTCTAGAGGTACCTTAAATCCCCTCGGATCAAACTATCACGTGCTTTTCTGTGCAAGTACCAGCAAGCCGTACTGTCCCAGCATCAAGCCAAGATCCCTGCTCATGAGATAAAGCGCCACCTACAGGCTGAATACACGTGCGCATGGAATCCCACCGGTGCTGAGCCAGAGAGCAATCTCTTCCAAACGTCCCACTTCAGTTTTCCACGTATCCAAGATGTGGCCATACAGATGATGTAAGAGAACTCGAGCCATACACAGCTGTGGTCCAGTCGGACTCATAACAGTGTATTTGGCAGTAAAACCACATGGTCATTTAGACCAGGAAGCAAAGCATACAGGTTTTAAGCAAGAGAATAGCAATAATAAAACGAATGACATGGATGTTCCTCTCGAAGCCTTTCCCACCACAGCGCGAACACAGCTGTCCAGGCAGTGGCTCAGTTTCTACGCTTGACGTGGCTGCATTAGGGTGGGTGTTGGGTTATGCACCAGGACAGCCGTGCTCTGACCAGGGCCAACCGTTCCCAAGGCGTCCAGGTCCGAATTACAGGCCCCTTCCACGCGCCTGTGCCCGTCCCTGGCTCTGGGCCAGCACGTGCTTACCTGCTTCACCTCCGCCTGCAGGTGGCGCAGCTGCACACACTGCTCCAGGTGCTTCCGATGCTGCTCTGCGGCCAAGTCCAGCTCCTGCTGCTTTTCATGAAGAAACTCCAACAAGTCCTGGACCCGCGTAGCCATGTCCACGTCTCTATCGCAAAGCAGCTCCACGCCTGCGGACACCAGAGGGAGACCCTAGAATTCAACTCACATTTCAATTTGTTCTTAAGGTTGCACGTGGTCTGTCTGTGTGTCACCTCCCAGCTGGGACCGGCCATCACGCTGAAGGCCATGTGCAGGGAGGGCCCAGCGCAGGGCAGTGTGACACCTGCCTGGCAGCGTGTGAGGAGTCCCAGAGAACGTATCTGACATGTCAAAGCCAAATAATAATGTCCCGCCCACCACACCGAGCCCGTCTCCTGTCAGTCCACTTCTACAATAACCACAAAAATGTGGCATCCTTTATAAATGAGAACTTGGGCTTGTTTTTGTTGTTACCTGCTGTACATCTAGTTCACATTTCAGGAAGCATTTAAGAACATGATTTGTGTAAAATGAGTAACGGCATGTTCAGGTTGTTGCTAAGTTTCTTAACACCATAGCCTTCTTTCTACATTTTTGAGCCCATAGTGCCATCTGCTGGTAAAGTATAAATTAAAAAAAAATAAAGAATGGGAAAATATTTTCTAGGGATTTACATTTCACTCAGAGAGCTACAACAGATCATTTACAAAATTAATGTTCATGCTACTTATAATAACATCTAAGAATATTAAGGGTAACTGCACTGTCCAAAATGTTAAATGTGATATTATGCATATCAGGTATTTACATTACGATTCATAACAGTAGCAACATTACAGTTATGAAGTAGCAACAAAAATAATTTTATGGCTGGGTCACAACATGAGGAACTGCATTTAAAGGGCCAGAAGGTTGAGAACCACTGATCTATAACATCTATACCGTAGGGGCGCCCTGAACCCTGCAGGCATCACACTGCGATAACCTGGACGAGCTCCCACGGGGACCCGAGGAGCCACCACGGACGCAGAGGGAGCGCACTCCTTACCAGACGCCTGCACTTCATTGACATACTGCAGGAGGTCCTGCCCCTGGTGGATGACATCGAAGGTCAGGTTGTTCATGGTCAGGGCTTTGTCCGCGTGGTGTTGGAGGCGCTGTTCCGCTATTGTGAGGTCTTCCGTGTCAAAGTCATTCATTTGCTGAGAAAGCTCATCATTCCAAGACTCAAGGTCCGAGATGATCTGACAGAGGAAAGTCTCTCTTTAGGATCAAGACTTAAAAATAAGAATCTGTTGCAATAGCTTCCGTGCCCGGTAAGGAAGGAAGGGACTCAGGGGATTGTGTTAGAAGGACACAAAGGCCAACTGAAGGGGCTCCCACTGTCCAATGATGGGACAATTAGACACTAAACAAATACAAAAATGACCACCATCGAATAGAATATATAAAATACACAAAAATCCATGAATTCCTAGTGATGCTTAAAAAGAAGAGCTAAAAGCCAAAAATTAATTTAAAAACTCTTTGGTTCTGATTAGAGGTAGCCAGGGAACTAATCTTTCTCCTAAAAACTGTGAACCATAGTAGAAAAATATATAAGCATAAAATGGTGCAGGAAAATTCCCCTTTCTGGATAAATCTAGCTATTAAATGTAGAAAGCCTAATAACATCAGAACATTTTATTCTAATTATTGTTTAGAGCAGGGGTCCTCAAACTACGGCCCACGGACCACCTGCGGCCCGCCGAAAACATTTATCCGGCCCGCCGGGTGTTTTTGCCGCCGCTGCCTGTCCTGCTTAGCGGCCGACTCGTCCCGGGCCCGCAGTGTACATGTGTGGAATGTCTGAGGGACAGTGAACTGGTCCCGTTTAAAAAGTTTGAGGACCTCTGGTTTAGAGTCTAGTAAACTGGGTAATGATCACCACTGCATAGTAAGCCACGAGGAAGGCTGATGGGGAATGAACACTGGAAGGATCAGGCTGCCGCCTCCTGAGCCCACAGACCCACCGTCGCTTCCTCGAAGGCGGCCGGACGGACAGCCCTCTGACTGGAGGAGCTGTGATGTGCCACCTGTGCAGCTTTCTCGCACAGAAACAATTCCAATGAGGTCTTCACCTCTAACTGCTGTGTGTACAGGAAATGCCGGGGAAAGAAAAAGTGGTGAACAACTCGGAAGAAATCAAGTGAGCAAAGGCAGAAAGTGGGACTGACCACGGATGAAGCTATTTCGACAAGTGGTGGTGTGGGGGAGGAAGGGCGGACGGAGAGGCCACCGTAGATGAACAGACGGAGCGGCCAGGGCAGGAGCGGGCCCGTGGGCCCTACTGAGGTGCTACGGCCTCTGAACAGCCGGCCTGAGAAGACAACCGGGGTGACTGCTGGACTGCTGGGTGTTCAGGGAGTTGTGCTCATGGAAGAAAATGGCCTCGTTTCTTAGGGAAGTTGGCAGGGGTGAAATGACATGCCGACAACATTTTTCTCTAAAATGCTACAGCACAACAGAAACAAAAAAGGGACTGAAGCAAGGGGGGCTGTGCTGTCCTCACCACCTTGATGCAAACCGTTCATCTTTAAAAATTAAGAGTAAAATGATAACATCCAGAAGGCAGGAAAAGCCTTCTTGTGGAAGAGTAGCATACGATACACTTCAATGGAAACACATCTCCCATCGATCCTATTCCTTTCTCTGCATGAGCAGTAAGCGAACTAGTGTGAAAATCCGTGAACGGGAGAGTGTGCACAGACTCCGGCTAGGAGATGGGAAGTAATAAGAAACTTACGGCTTCCTCAAACCCCTTTGCACAAGTCTTCTCGGTTTATTCGTTTATCACAGAGGCCGTAGACAACATGCATATTATATTAACCTATTAAGTTATGCTTATTAATAAAACAAAAAATTTAAACAATGCCAAATTAGACATAAACCAAAAAGCCACTGGGGGAAAATATTGTTAAAAGGAAAAAATTGACCATATCTTTAACCTTTACCTCCACTCTAAGGGGATTCTTCCTTAACGTTTGTTTGTTTCCTGGCGCTGAGGGAGAAGACACGGTGTGTGGTGAGAGACAGACGCGGGAATGGTTTCACGGAGGAGACACCATCAGGCTCAGACGGCATCAAGCAACGGGCAGTAACACAGATCACTGTGCTCAGACCAGCAGGATTTGAAAACACTGGCTTGGTATAAAGAACCCTGGCATGGCGTGATCTCGGGTCATCAGGAAAACCCCGCCCACAGTTTAGCATTCTAGCTGGTCAACCATCGGAGCCAAGAAAAGAAATCTGTGCCCAAAACAAAGCTGATGAAAGTGGAAGTCATTTTTGAATATTAATACTTTGGAGAAATAGCTCTGAAACTATAAGCGTATCGCAGAATTTTTATTAAGTCTAAATTTTCCTCCTAAACACATATATGGTTTAGTTATGACTGTTTCCCATACCTAACCTGTCACAGGATGCTACAGTAATTATTTTGTTTTTCAAGCAATAAAGCAGATTTAACTGGTACACCTGGAAGCTGAAATTGCAGTAGGCTAAGGCAGAGAAAATCTCCATCCACTTTTCAGAGATGGAAATGCTTCTCCAACTGCAACACAGAGACGTGAGGGATTTAAAAAAATCAACCAAGTAACATGAATTTCCACCAACAACATAACTGCATGCTTCCTATGGGTAGCCAGATGAGGCATTTTCCCAGTAAGAGGGAAAATCCCAGCTGAAACCTAAACTGCTCAGATCTTCACATTTCAGGGTCATTCGAGAGAAAAAAGGTTCCAAGGGCCTGAGGTGCTAAAAGGTTTTACACTGTATCCTAGCGCCCTGTGAACGCACTGCAGGCTCCGTTCCTGGGTTCAGGCGTCACGTGCCCGGCCTGGCAGCCTGGCCTTACTGAGCCACGCGGAACTCCCGGCTTTAGTGTGGGGAAGTCATCTGGCGTTCCTGACCTCCATTTAATACACTGGTTCAATGAGAACAGAAATACAATGAGTTATTTCCCCCTTAAAGACCATTAATACATGTGAAGCCAATTTCCCCCCCAAATAGCCAAGGTCCTGGAAGGAGAAACTTCAAATAATGCTTCTGACTGCTTTCCGTTGCTTTAACTGAAACTATTTAATCAGCAGCCACATTGACCAAAGCAGTTCCTCTAAAGCAGAGGTCAGAGAGGAAAGCAGGCTGCCTGCGGGGTCCTGCTCGCACAGGCTGGCGGGGCGGGGCCTGACCGCTGAGGCCAGAGCCTTTCTCCACGTGGCTCCAAACCACGTGGCTCCGAGTGGGTTTAAGTGTCAAGACTCAGAGGGCAGGTTGTTGTTGTTTTTTCAGGGACATGTGAGGGTTCAATACCTTTCTTGTCATTAACAGATGATGGTAATGAACACAGCCAAGGAGGCTGTCCTTTTATGAAACCACTGATGGACGTTTACACAAGCAGCCAACCAACGGGCCCCCCAGAAGGCCTGCCCAGGTCCAGGCCTGGCCCTGCACCACACGCCCCTCAGAGCAGGGCCCACAGACAGGCCTCCGGCAGCACAGAAGGCCCACCACGGCAGTTGACACTGAGCCCTGCCTCACCCTGCCTTTGGCGGCCCTTAGCGTCTGGGCCACGTGCTCTCACAGCACGGCTCAAACCCAGGACAAGGGATCGATATGGGGGGAGCCTCCTCCAGACATCTTGGTGGGCGGTCGGGGACCCCCCGGGCGGCCGTTACCACCACCAGCCCCCGGAAACCGGCCTCCCCGGCTGAGGTGAGCTTCGGTTCCTTTCCTCACGTTTCACAGACTCTAGCAGTGTCATCCAACCGCACTTCCTTCTGCCTGCACTCCAAGTTCAAACAAAGCCCTTCCCGGACACCGAACGGAGAACCCCCTCCTCTGGTGAAGAAAAAGGAAAGAAACCTGAACTTCCTTCTCCCAGTCATACATGAGGCGTAAAAGTCGCATGTTAACTAAGAATGACAGACCATCTGAGGCCCTTCTGTGGGGGAATTCCCTAAGAGGCCGAGGTGTTGGTCTCGGGCAGAGCAGGAGGGGGAGGGGGAGGAAGGAGAGAGGACCCTGCTTGAGCTTGAGTCCCTGCTTCCAGGACAGGGAGGGCTGCGTGGGGCCCAGTGGAGGCGAGAAGCCAAGAGGGCGAGAGGGACCGGTCCCAGCAGCTCTGCCCTCACCCTCCACCCTGGCCTTGCTCTATCCTGTGTGCGACGTGGGCCCTGCAGTGCCCGCTGCCTCCGCCAGTTCCAACTTCAGACAGAGGAGCGGAGTCCCAGCCCCCAGTTCCCTTCCTCTCTCCTCCTGGCAGCGGCCCAGGCCCAGGGAAGGACACAGGGCGGAGCGGGCGGGCACTCACGTCGATGGCGTCCCTCTCGAAGATGCGCAGCTGCAGGAAGAGGTCCAGCTTGATCTTACGCTCCTGGAACAGCTCCTCCATCTGGGCCTGCGCCTCGTCCAGCTGCTGCAGCACCGTCTCGATGTGGCTGATGGAGCTGTTGTGGGGGGTCTTGTTGTTGGAGATGGCCGAGTCCCTGGGAGGGAGCAGAGAGGGAAACGGGATTTCAAAGAGACAAACAGGAATTGGAGGAGCAAGTCGCACATTGTCAGATCCCAGATCCGGCAGCTCGGGACCTGGGGGGAGAGAGCCGGCAGGAAGCGGCTGCCTGTCTCAGAAAGGACGGCCGCCCCTCCCGCAGAACAACAGCGGCTTCCTCCTCCAGCAGCTCCCAGACCCGAGGGAGCACGGAGCCTCTCCGGCCTCTCATCGCTCTCACAAGAATCTAACGCTCTCGCAAGGCCAGTCAGCAGGGATCACTTCCAGCCGCTTTCTCCTTAAGTAGACAGAAGAGCTGACACCTGTTCACCATGAACGGTGGTTCCATTAGTCACGAGGGGTTAAACTCCAATGCATCAACGAAGCCTCTATCGAGCAACGTTGCCTGACTTCGCAAAGCGAACACCAGGGGAAGTTACCACCAACGATTCATACGCTGGCCTCCGAGGAGCAGGCGGGAGACTTCATTTACGTAAACAGTCCCTGTGATGCTTCCAGCCCCAGCACTGTCCTGACTTCCTGCCACCGGGTCCCGACGGGCAGGTGTCGGCCGGGCCGGGCCTGCCTGGGCCTCAGCTTTGAAAAGGGGACACCCCACCACATTCTAGAGAGACAGGTCACCGGGGCCTGAGGACAAGGTCCTGGGAGGTTTAAGTAAAGTTTCATTCATTACTGAGTGTTAGGAGGGAATATTAATAAAAGCTGAATCCTGGGAAGGTTTATTAGGCAATGCTGTAATGAGAAAACTTACTGAGAAAAAACCGTAAGGGGGAAGAAGAAAAGAGAGAGATGCTACTCTGCATTACGCTCACAGACGTTATTTGTTCTCTACCCCATTGGACAGAGAATTATAGGCAATTGTTCCCAAAAGCCAGGGGAAGGGGAAACGCTGGCAGAGTTTCAAAGGGCCTGTGCTCAGCGGGAGGCGGGGCGGGCCCACCTCAGCTGCTGGATGAGGTCCTCCCCTTCCTTGATCACGTTGACGGTCACTTGCAGGGTCGTCTGCTGCTGCTGGCCGAACCGCTTGATGAGGTCCTGCACGGCCTCCACCGACTCGGCGTACACGTCGTCCAGCAGCTCCTTCTGCAGCTCCTCCAGCCATGTCCACAGCTGGAGGGAGACAGTGAGGCTGTCACCGCCAGGGCAGGCCCCATTCGAGAAGGTGAGGGGGCGGGAGGGCAGGGGCAGGCTGCCCCGGGGGAGCAGGAGGGAGAAGTACCCCAAACAGTCCGACAGCCAGCAGCAAAGGCACAAAAAACGCAGCATGTGACGGCTGCGAGGTGAGAAAGCGAACAGGCAGAGAGCCAAAGGGGACGGTCAGAGAAGAGAAAGACAGGACGGGAAGTGGCTCTTCCCGATTCTGCCCAGGCTCCACTGGGTGCAACAGAATCAGAAAAGACCCTCCAACACCTGCCACACATGACGGCATTCTCTCACGCAGCCCGGTGGCTTTTATTTTACTCTTAGCAAGGGCGTTGCAGTCTGTTGTTGATTATTAGACCTCCCCACAGACATGGGTGCTTTCCAGCCCTCAGAAAAGAAGGAAGCATGGAGCGTGGTGGAATGATGCCTCCCCAGGCCCGGGAGGAGAGGGGATGTGGCACAGCTAGGTTCCACGCCCGGCCAGCCAAGGCCACGGTCACAGTCCTTCATGAAGGAGTGGGCATCCCGAAACCCTTGCAAACCCTCACCACCACGAACACTGTGCCCGGGACCTGGGTGGGTAAGACCTCTGGCTTTGGTCTGGTGGGAGCAGAGCCCTCCGCCCGCTTCAGGGAGCCGCTCCAGGTCTCGGGGAGCCGTTCAGCGAGCCGGAAAGGCAGTTAATTAAGCCGAATGAGCCCTGGGCGTGGAGATGGTTTGTGTGGGGAGACAATGCTCCCTGCTTCCCCAGGGATGTGAGAATCACCTCCAGCACCTGACACGTGTGGGCCCAGCGCCTGCCTGAGCTACGGGACACACTGCCCAGCCGCACGCGCCAGCCTCGGGGCTGAGTCAGCACCAGGGCACTTGCCGAAGCAAGTGTGTGCATTTGGCTTCTTGTTTCCAAACCCCTCCTTTTTGAAACTGCTCTGCTGAGGTATGACATGCAGTGAACTGCACGCGTTTCTCTGAGAAATGCACTCCTAGGCCCCCCCCCACACCCCCCCCCCCCCCCCCCCCCCACTTCTGGCCGTCTCAGTAACTCCTTGAGGACGGTTGACACTGAGGGTCCTTGGTGTAGCAAGGAAATGCAGTGATCTCTTAGGCCTGGAGGCAACACTTTGCTAAAGCCTCTCTTAAATTCACGGGCTCCCAGCACAGAATGCCTTTCGGCAGCTCTTGGACACAGCCCTCCCACCCGCGGATTCCTGTCCTACGATGGACACTGATGAAAAAGTGGACCTTTGCAACTGTTTTTTTTCCTGCTAAAAAAGAATAAAAGCAACAACAAACCACTTACTTCACTCCCTTCTTTCAAAGTCTCCACTGTGTTCCACCTGAATCCACGTGCTGCCCTAAAGCTGCCCCCACCCTCCGGTCACTGTGGGGGAGCCCAGGGACAGAGGGCCCCTGCACACCGGCGGAGACAGCCCCGCACTGAGTGACGGCAGACGATGGAGGACTCTTCGGGAATGAATGGAGGGACACAGCACAGTAAGCTGCTGAGTTCAGGAATAGTGCTCCCTCAGCATATTCTGCTCACCCAGGGGAGCTGAATAATTTAAGCAAATGTACATCCAAAAAGGAGTGCTCTTCTCGCATGTGATCTAATGTTTGTATCAACGAGGAGAAAGGTAAAGGAGCCAACGCTGCCCCAACGCTGACTGCATCACAGAGGAGGGTCTGGCAGACACTTCAGACCACACGCTGGAGCCATTGTAGCCCCTCGTTTTAGTGACACTGCGCTTTTAAAAGCTAGCATCTCATAACATTAGTAGAAATGAGGTGCGTTAGTAGAAATGAAATTTGTTGTGCAAACACACGGAAATGCAAGTTTTAAAAGCCCACTAGAAGAATACTGCAATATCAGCAACGCAACATTAAGGCAGCTGGTAGGAGTCCGCAGGTCCCGGGTGAGACACACCTCCCACACAGCTGTCCCAAGCCCCCTCCCCCATTCAAACAGCTGGGTCAGGTCTCCTCGCTGACCCAGTGTGACCCCGCCTGTGGGACAGAATGCGGGGTGGGGGGAGGTGTCTGCAGAATTCCTCTTCTCCAGCAAATACTACCATTTAGCACGACTTCCACTAAATACCATTTAAGTGACAGGACCAGTTGAACACGTCTTGCCTCTGCACACTGTGGAGGGGAGAGGAGAGGAGTGCAAACCCCGCTCGAGGCACAATGCACTGCTGTGCTTCCGCGACTCCACGGCCACCACAGACGAGGTCGTCTTTCATCCCCAAGTAATTAAACGAAACACTTCTCCTGAGAGGGGACACGGAATAACAGTGAAGAGAACCTCAGGTCCGTTCCTCACCTGGGTCCAGGTGTCAGTGTATTCTCCTATGAGACGGGCCTGGTAATAATGCCTGCCTCGCAGGCTCCCGGGAAGATGAGGTAGGGTCATGTACCCACGTGGAGAGGTAGGTAAATGTTAACCACTACTATTAGTCTTGTTCTTGCAAGGAAAATTCTTCTAATAATAAGACTCACAATGTTTTAAAAGCCTTCTTTCTCTAAATATTATTCAAAATGTATTCAGGTTCCTACCAATTGTTCAAAATATGTCACAGTCTGGTCAGCTTAACACCATCCCACATTTTAAGCTTTCACACCTAAAAATAGGACGGCGTGAGGAAAGTTGCTGGGATGTCTGGGCTTCTATAGAAAGCACTTCCCCTGGCTTCCAGGGGAAGTGCCGGGAGTGAGGCCTTTTCCTTTCCTCCGGTAACCTTTAAAGAACTAGCTTATTCCCTCCACATCCTGGACACTTCAACACACGTCCATGGGGGACATGCCCGCCCAGTGGAGCGCAGCTGTGCAGGAGCCCGCAGGGACCGTGCTGGGATCAGGCAGGTGAAGAGGGGGAAACCGAGGTCGGAGGAGCGAGGTTACCCCTAAGTCCATGATCTTCATGCCCAAAGGTCCTTTCCCCTTTAGAATGTTTCTGTCTGGTCCCAAGGAAATGTTCTCATTCAAAAAGATCTCAGAGAAAAGGGCCCTGGCTGGTTTGGCTCAGTGGATAGAGCATCACCCTGCGGACTGAAGGGCTCCAGGTTCGATTCCTGTCAAGAGCACAAGCCCAGGTTGCAGGCTCAACTCAACTCCAAGTGGGTGGTGGGGGGGTGCAGAAGGCAGATGATCAATAATTCATGCTCACCATTGATGTTTCTCTCTCTCTCTCTCTCTCCTTCTCCCTTACTCTCTGAAATCAATAAAGATATACTTAAAAAAAAAAAAGTCTCAGAGAAAAGTATTTCTGATGTCGATTTTAGATGAACTGATGCATTCGTCGTGCAACAGGATTCAGGCAAAGCCTTTGTTTAAGCTTTGAAAATGCTACCTATGCCTCCTAAAGTAACCTTTGCACAAAGCAATGAGAAAAGGTCTCCAGGAGGCCTGAAAATTTTTACCACAAGCTTCCTGAATGTGAAGAAAGAAACCTGTACTCCTGTGCTAGCTGTTAATTTGCAATAAAAGATAAACTCTGCTTGACAGCAAGAGTTTCATTCTAACCAAGTTCTCGGCAGCGTGGACTCTATGAGTAAGAACTGTGCCCACGGCCTCGGCTCCTCAGGCAGCCAGACTTAGGCAGTGCTGCCCCCTAGAGGCCCTCTGAGCTGCAGCCAGGCCCGCTTCATGGAAGAGAGCTTGAACCCAGCCCACAGTGGCTGCAGTGTGCACAGGCCTGGGTCACAGAGCAGGCTGGGCTAGGGAGACACAGGGATTTCTGGGGAGAAAACTGATAAAATCTGTATCCTGTGTCCACCCGAGTCTGACCCAGTTATACCCTTCCCACAAACTGTGCTGGGTGGAACCTAAAGGAGGAACCTCGCTCTGCTGGGAGAAACCCCCGAAAAAGCCCCTTCCTCACTAACTGGGGAGGGGAGACCCCACAGAGGACTCCTAAAGGAACTCATGGGGGAGGGGGTTCCAGGGAAGGACTGAGCTGCCAGCTGATTCTGTGGGTGGTAGAATAGGGACCCTGAGATTTGGGGATTGCTCTAGGGGCAACCACTCTCCAGCCACAGTCTGCACGCAGGCTATAAACCTGCTCGCAACACACCAGCTGTGGGTGGCCTTGAGAAATCCTTTGGCGCTCTCTACCTTCAGTTTTCTCATCTATGAAATGGGCTCATGTTACCATATATGTCTTCCCTAACTGGCAAAGCCAGTTTGAGAGTCAATTACTACAAGCACTTTATAAACAGAAGCTACTGCTGTTGGCATCTATTCTTGTCTATGACTAAGATGATCATTCGGGTACCAGTGGGGATGGGTGAGCTGTAAGGTGGTGTGAGAAGCACAAAAGCCACAGCTCCCAGCTGCAAGCCAGGAGCAGAAGTAGGTAGTTTCAATGGCAACTGGCAGGTGGAATTTCAGAAGGCACCATTCTAAACGTAAAATGGGATCCAGTTTCAGGTATGAGAGCAGAAATCAAAGGGGAACTGTTCAGCCATGAGCAACACAGCACCTTCTTCGGCCGGCAACTGCCCACGCACTCCTGGCGCACACGCCCACGGCCCTGATCAGAGGAGTGAGGGTTCAGCGCACCTGGGTGTTCTCGGTGCAGCGCAGAGCTCGGTGCTCTTGGATGGGTGACCAAAGATCTCTTCATATGACGAAAGGGAATTTATGAAGGACGCATGGGTTGGGCAAATCGAAGTCAGTATCATGAAATAATAGCAAAGCAAATATGCATAAGAGGAGAAAAGGGAAGAATCCAGGAGCAAACCAGGTGAGGACGGGATAAGAGGCCACTCCCAGTGCTCTGCACCCCAAGGAGCAATGAGACCCCCCATAATCCTCCTCCAACCATAGTGCAAGGTCCAGGGAGAGTGAGCACTGGCTGGGCTTAAAGAAAGGAGTCTGCCTGCCCAAGTGGTAGCATGAAAACGGAGCCAGGCTGGTAGGCCAGACAGAACAATCCCCAGGTGGCTGTCAGGCTTTCTTTCCGACTCCTGAACAAAATGACAGGGTCCATCCCAGGCATCACCCCAAACAAAGCCCGGTCCCAGTCAGAGTGTAAGTCTGCAGAAGCAGAGCCCACGGCTCCTTTCCTGAAACCCAGCGAGAATCGCAGCCGATCCAAATGAGAACAACCTTTCCTGGGAATCCACGGCCTCTGGGAAACAATGAACAGAACCCCACTCAGGGCCCCGAGTCCATTCCAGAGACAAGCCTGGCCGGGACCACCTGGTGACCTCAAACAACCCACACATTTCCAAGGTAATTATTCATTAACTCTGGACCTACTTTTGAGAAAGAAGGTGAATGAGTACAAATGGATGAAAATAATTGTGCTTTTGCTATATTTGAAAATGGAAACATGTCCTTTTATCATTAAATCTCAGAACATGTGCTAGAAATAGACATCATTATTCCCAGCGACTGAGCTCTGCTAAGCCTGGTACGGAGGCCAGCTGTGGGTACAAGGGTAAGTGAGAGTTCTGGTCTTCAAGGCACTTTACATCCACCAAGAGAAACAAACCAACATCTGAAATGTGTGACACAAAAGTATGTTTTCCACCGTTCTCCCTTGTGCACAACCTCCTGGAACATTACAGTGGCTCAGGAGACACTTTGGGATGAATAAGTGAGAGAGTGAAGGAATGAGCAGTGGAAAGTGCACTGGAAAGGAGAGGACAGGTAATGAAGACTCATCATGGGAATATTATACTCAGAACTGATGTGAATAAAATGCTGCAAATAATACGAAAGGGACTAGAGAGATTGAGAGGTGGAAAACAAATGCAGGAGAAAAAAAGTTCTCCCAAAATAAAATCCAAAGTTGTATGAGACTAATCAACAGTTCTGTTAAATACTATTTTAAAAACGTTTTTGAAAAGGCAGAGCACCAGCCTTCATCTTCTAAGAGGAGGTTAAGCCTCTCATGAATTCCTTTCACAGAGAGGGGGAAAAAAAAGAGGGAGAAAGGGGCCCCAGAATGTTTCCAAATCCAAGTTTACGGGTGAAATTGAGGCTGATGCCTCCATCAATCACCTTTCCGCATGCAGCCTCCAGGCATAAAATATCACCATTTCCATGAAAATATCTCCTCTTCTCTCTCCCCAGAAACAAGTAGTATTCTGTGTTCTGTCCTCTAGGGGTGAGAGAGTAAAGAGCCCAGAGATCTCAACACACAGGACTGGAATGCCTGGTCTGGGACAAGAGTTACAGGCACCAACCTCTTTCCAGGTGTGAGTCTTAAAAAGAATTGCGAACTGCAGAGCTAACACTGAGCAGACGTCACCAAAGCCGGCGGGGCCTTAGTTAATGCTGGCGTCTGGTGCAGTCAGTATTCTGCACGGCTCACTGTTATCAGTGTCTGAGGATGGCCACACAGGCTGACAAAATCAGAAGGCAACGGTGACTGGGGCCACATGACAGGCTAACACGGAAGGGAGACCCAGCAGCTCTGACCACAGTGTGTGGGCCATCTGTTCACGCTAAATCAGGTGCACGCCTGTCTCTCTCCAACGTAAAGGATCTCCTTCAGCTCAGCTCACCTCCTCACCCACACCTCTCCCCAGACGCCCACCCCTCACGGGCCACCCCCCACAAAGGCTGTCTGTGCTTGTGCTGCAAGGAAGGTCCCGTCCGCGCTGACCGCTCCGCTGGAGGGAGCAGGCTGCCATCACCACTGCCCAGCTCTGGTCCACGCTCTCATGTCACGGCTTGTGTCAGAGACCCTCGAAGTCCCGGGCTCTCCTCCCCCTCCCGGTTCTCACCTCTTTCACGTGCGTGTGAAAGGACACTGACATGTCCAGTAGGATCTTCCGTTGCTCAACACGCCGAACAAAGTCCTGGATCCGGTCTTCGAGCTGATGGGCGGCCTGATAAATCTCTTCGGGGTCACATTCCCCCGTCTGCGCCAGCTGCTCCGCGGCCTCTAGCAACTTGTCCGCATTGGTGTATGTGTTCTGCACGAGAGAACAGCCAGAGAAACACACGGTGAACAACACACACCGGCCAGGCCGGGGCCACGGCACTGCACTCAGTCTGCGCTGCTCCCGATCATTTCCGCGAATCAAACAGAAACGCGACGGAAAAGCTGACTTCAGTTACTACACCCCTATCAGCAGCCTCGTCCAGGCCTGTCTCAGTCAAACCTCGAACCTCATGACCGGCCCTTCCGCGTCCGGCGGCGAGAGGTATCTGCAGGCCATCGCTGGCCGTCCTGACTCATCCAGGGCTCTGAGCTCTTGCACCTGCACAGCCAGAGACGGCGCGGAGCCGCAGGCCCGCTTCACTTCTCTCGTGCTGTGACGGAGGACAGTTCCAGTTTTGTGCCTTTCACTATGAGAGAGCACGCATGAGCATTCCAAGTGCAAGTGACAGGTTAATTCCACAAGAACGTAAATAAGTTGCTGCCCCTTTTCACATGTTTCTACTTACTGGCACATTTTCTCAGAAAGAGGAAGTAATAACTATAATGGCTACAAAATAGCCAGAGTTTAAAAGAGTTGGAAGATAAGGGAAACAGGTGTCAAAAATACTCTGAAGCAGAGGTTGCAGATGGGTTCCTCAAACAAGCAGGTAGGCCAGAGCCCGAGACTGTTAACTATCAGTGAGAGGGGACTGGGAGAGGTTGGGGCAGAAGTCCCGGGAACCTTGTGTCTCCCCTTGAAAAATGGGTTGAGCCCTAGCTGGTTTGGCTCAGTGGATAGAGCGTCAGCCTGTGGACTGAAAAGTCCCGAGTTCGATTCCAGTCAAGGGCACATGCCTGGGCTGCAGGCTCAATCCCCAGTAGGGGGCATGCAGGAGGCAGCCAATCAATGATTCTCTCTCTCTCTCTCTCTCTCTCTCTCTCTCTCTCTCTTCCTCTCTGAAATCAATAAAAATAAAAATATTTAAAAAAATAAAAGACAAAGAAAAACGGTTTGAGCCCTTCACCGTTCTCCAATATTTTAGTTCTCCAGCCGAGCAAGGTCAGGACTCATCAGTGAGAGTGGGCAGTGCCCCGAGCGTGGGGAGGGTGTCCTTGTGGGAGTCCAAGGCTGATGGGGGCAAGGGCACCCCTGCACCCCCGCTGCTTACGGCCAGGGGCACTAATCTACCGAGGGTGATGAGAGGCAGGTTCCTCACTGTGGGGAACGGAGTTACAAATATAGGAAAGGGGAAAAGCTGTTAACTGCACGGCACTGGAGGAGAACTGGAGGAACCACTGTGAACGAGGAGGGACCTCGGCAGGGTCCCGGGTGGAGTGGACACACTACAAGATGGCCCTGAGACATTTTACGGGGCCAAGAGTATGGAAACCCCAAGAACAGTGTGGACAGGACACAGGAGCTGGCCTGAGGAGGCTCCGCTGGCCAGTCAGGGTGACGAGGTGAGCAGGAACATAACCGATGCAGTGCACTGAATGCGAGGAAGCCGCGAGGCTACTCTGACATAAATAAAACTGGATGAGGACCAGGCGTCTACAGAACGTCAGAGCACCTCCCACAAAGTGCGTACTGACGACCAAGGGGGAAAGACACAGTACTCAGGGGTCAGAGTGAACCAGGTGCACCGGACAAGTTAGAATCGGGTGCCCCCGGCGGGTGGGACCCAGCTTTACTCTGTGATGCCCCCGACGAAGATACACAGTAGCCAGAATCTAACCACCAGGAAACATCGGACAAACCCAAAGCGAGGCGCATTCTCCAAAATAACGGCTTGAAACCTCCCAAAGGGTCAGGTCGCAAGGTCAAGGGAGAATGAAGACCCTCCAGGCCCAAGGACCTCAGCGACGTGACAACTGAAGGTCCACACGGACCCCTTCAGCTGTGACAGCCTCGTGGGCTGCGAGGGCTGGAAGGTCATCAGGCATCAGTGTTAACGTCCTGACTTCGATGGTGGAATGGCGGTTGTCCAGCAGAATTTAAAACAGGAAGCACAGAGTAAGTTCTTTATGCTGTACTTCCTGCAAGGTGGAAAATTTAAAACGGATGTAATACACAGCACGACAGGTGTGAGGTGGCCTCCACAGGGACACTGACCCACACATACAGAGCAAGTGCCCCCAGTGCGCCACGGGGGGTGCGACAGTCATCCTTGTGTGGGCAGCATGGGGATGCGGTGCGGACACAGTCTACAGCAATGGTTCTCAACCTTGGCTGCGCATTAGAATCACCTGGGAATCTTTTTAACATCCTGATGTCTGGGCCTCATCCTCCGGAAATTCTGTTTCTTTGTTATGGGGTGGGGCCACAACATTAGTAACAAAGGAACAGAATTTCCGGAGGATGAGGCCCAGACATCAGGATTTTAAAAAGATTCCCAGGTGATTCTAATGTGCAGCCAAGGCTGAGAACCACTGGTCTACAGGGACGACAAAGACCAGCTAATGTCCGTCTGCTCCTTTCATCACCATCTCCATGTTGCTTATTGTGCATCAGAAACGCGTGCTCCCCTTGCACGGGCTGTCCAATCCCAACCACAGCCTTTTACGGGTAAGGAAACTGGGGCCTGGAGGGAGCCCATGGGCTCACGGACGAAGCGGGCAGGTGGTGAAATCGGGACTCCGGAGTCTATGCGTACACTACCCCATGCTGTTCAGCACCTGGCCTCCTCCACGGGTAGCCCAGTTCACTCACTGCTGCGAGGCTGGGTCCACGGTCACCTCCTTCGCCCTGTCCATCTGAGAAACCACCTTCAGGGGGTCTTTCCATGTTCAATACTATCTGAAGTCTCATGGCAACACTCTGTACTGTTAACAAAGGATCTCTCAGAACTCTTTCTAAATAAAAGATGGAAGAGATGTCGAAGAATCCCTTAAAAGCCACTAATTACGGCCAGACTTGGAGAATGCCTGTGTACATTTCACATGTTCTTTGCAATCAAATTGTTTGACATAATTTGAAAGCAGTCAGTTCCCAATCTAACTGCACAACTTTTAAGAGGACTGCTTTATATATATTGAGTTCTATATATACTCAGTGTGACATATTTAGATGCTTAGTTACAATAATTCCTACATAAAGGAGACACAGTGAAACTGCCCACTTTAAAAGAGCTTTGTAACAACAAAAGCTTGTTTTATAAACTCCCACCTTATGTCCTGTGCAAGTCTTCCTGGCCCTCCACATCCCCGTGGTGCAGTCTGGCAGCCTGCCAACCACGGCTGTGACAAGAAGCAGCCTTCCGCGAATGATCACACCTCAGAGCTGCACACCACCTCGGAGCTCACGTGGATGATCACACCACCTCTTAGCTCAACTGGATGATCACACCATCTCGGAGCTCACGTGGATGATCACACCACCTCTAGCTCACGTGGATGATCACACCACCTCGGAGCTGCAGAGGTCAGGAGGAGACTTTCACTTTGGGGGGCCCCAGTACCAACTTTGTGACCCTGAGCCTCAGGCTGGAGACCACAGATCATCCGCCTACTGATGAATGAGGGGAAGAGTCAGTCTATGAACGAGCACTAGACTAACACAGCGATAATGAGGGGAAAGGATGACTGCCATTACCAACGACAATAAGAATAACGACAGAAACTGTGGGAGCCAACAGGAACCTAGGCCCCATGACAACTAAACAGAATGTGGGGTCCTGGGGTAGGAGGAAACTGAGCAAATCTGACCGAAGTACGGATTTGAGTTAATAACAGTGCATCAACATTGGGTCATTGATTGTAACAAACACACCATACTAGGAAAGATGGTAATAATCAGGAAAACAGGGCGTGGGGTGGAGGGTATGGGAATGCTCTATTGCCATTGTCGCAGTTTTTCTGGAAATCTAAAACTGGCCTAAAAAAGCTTATTTAAAAATGTGTGTGTATACACCTAGCCCTTCCCTCCGAGAGACTAACACTCCAGCCACCAGATGAGGCTCTGGGGAGGGCAGGCTCTCCCAGTGACATCAGCTAAAGGGCATCAGGGCTCCTCGGAGGCTCTGCCCACATCTGCCCACAAGGATTCTCCCATCACCAGAGGCGGCACCGTAAAGGGACTTCCGGGATGAAGGGTGATGGAGATCCACGCTTCCCCGAGCGCCTCACCCAGGACCCACGCTCCGTCCACTGGCGGAGCCTCAGTCTCCTGCTTTATGCTGCACACACATCTTTAAGGAGCTGAACCCTGTTTTCTTGTTGAGCATCACTACAGCCGTGAAGCCACTTACCTCTCGGGTGGATCTGCAGTAACAGTGACTCCCAACAGGCAAACGTGTTTCTGGAAGCTTCCCACCCTTTTGCTGGCAGGGAACGACATTGCAACAATAAACGTCCCAAAGGAACAAGTGCATTTTACCTGATCTGGGACACTAAGCAGCATTCATTCAGTCCCACTTCTCATTTCACACTTGAAGAATGAGCCAGCACTGAGGGCTCAAGGCTTTCCTGGGGCAGCCGGCACGGGGCTGCTGGCGTCCAGGTCAGCACCGGCCTCGCTGACACCCAAGGCTGCTCTTCACATGAACAGCACCACCCCGAATCCTTTTCCCAAGAGATTCCACGCGTCAGTAAGCAGACAGGCCTCAAGTGCCAACTTTGGCACACTTAGTCTGCGCCCCGCAACAGCCCTGTGACGTGGACACCATTTCATTCCCATTTCACAAGTGTGGAAACTGAGGCACAGAGAAGAGAAGTCAGTCAGCGGAGCTAGGACTGTTCAAACCACAAATGCCTAGGCCAGGGCTCATCTTACAAGGGAAAAGGCAGTCACTTCCAGTTAGATTTAAAGAGAGGAGGGTGTCAGGTAGGAAAGCCCATTTCAGAGTCTAAAGAGCCTAACCGTCTCTCTCCTACCTGCCGTCCTGCTGCTGGGGGCATCTCTCCAGGTTCGGTTCCTTGTCTGAGGGAGTAACAATCACTGCGGAGGAGGGCTAAGGAGACAGGGCCAGGCCAGCGTGGGGGCCCAAAAGGTTTCCTCTTTTCTTAAGAAGTGAAATAATTGCATAATTGCTAGGAGTCAGGAAATAGGGCTTT